TTCGGTTCGCATTCTATTCATTTCATTATTAAGCACCAAAATTGCTTTTTCGAGTTTTTTTATAGATGGATCACTCGGGATTTGAGGCGACATTATATTTTTGCGTAGATATAAGAATGTTATGACGGGAATTATATATATCATTGTGTTTCCAGGGATAATTGTGTGGAGTATCTCCATAGTCAAGATGTCCCGATTAAATAAATCATAGATCACGATTACAGTGATGAAAATAACGAGCAAAAAAATGTCGGATAAATTGAGTGACATGTTGTAGTAAATAAATTGATTATTCGGTTAATTGTTTGATTGCTATATCGCGCGACGATTATTGTTTTGATGGTTTGTTAAGGACGAACCTGCGAATTTATCCCTAGACAACGCACGTTTTTATATCGGTAGCTTGTAAAACTATATCCCGCAGTAAAGGCGAAGCTAGTGCCTGACACGGAGAGTCATTTTTTGAAAATAGGCACATATATCTTAATTTCGCAAAACAAAGATGAATTAGCTTAGCTTCTTGCGTATCTTATGAGCATAACACGAATTATATCTGGTATATTCTATGTGTCCACGGCATTGGTTACTAGATTTCGTACTAATTAATTTAACAGCGATTACAATATACGATTTACCGATCTACCAATTAACCTTTATATCATCATCCATGGTATTGGTTCTTTTGTATTTTCATTATCAAGATAATAAATTTATTAGCGATCCTGAACCTATAAAATTAGCTATTATTATTGACCCTCTAACTCCGCTAATTTAGCATCTTTTTTCCAACAATCACGACTATAACCAAAATTAAATAATCGCATTGATTTTTGTAAAAAGACTAAAATGGTTTAGACGCATATACTGTATATTGAGTATCACAAACTTGGAAAAATTGTCGAAGTCACACAGTGGCTGAAGATTCGTTATCCGAAATAGATCATGTAACGATTATATGTTTGTAATACACCCGAAATAGATCCCACATGCCCGAAATAGATCATGCAAAGCATCCTATATATGAACTTTACTCGCAAATATGACAATTATACACAACTCATCTAATAACCCAGGCCCTATGGGGCGCTCTTCGAGCATCCGCACTAAAATTGAATCATATTATTCTAGAGTATAAAGTTATTAGTGGAACTAGCAAGGCTAAATCTAATAGGTAGGTCAAAAACGCTAAAACCGCTAAATATAATATTCTCCATAAGCGATAAATATGTCAGGTCTTACTATTACAACTATTATCGATAAAAAAGCTAAATCAATTAAGCTCATTAATAATCGTCCTGGATATGATATGAAATATGTAAAGTCGTATATCTACAATTATTGTGGAATTAGTGATTATCAACGATACTTTGATGATCTTTATGAGACTGAAAGACGATATGATACTTTATCTGTCATTCGACCCAATGAAACTCCACGACAATGGGCTATTCGAGTCAGAGTTCCTTTACAAGAGCTAGTCTCTGAAAAGAAAAGAAGCGTATATCACATACACTGTTTATATGGTGGATTTGGAAATTCTAAGCTAGTCAATCACGACTACTACAGACCTAGAATTCACAAAACTCATATGGCAATTTGTCTTGATTGTTGGAAATTGATTCAAGTTAATGATGTGAAACCAAAGAAAGTATATGCTTCTGCTATTTACAGATATATCGAAAAGATTGAACCTGCAGATTTGATGAAGTATCATTGGGATCATGAATGTAATAATCCAAAATCTCAAGATGGATATGCTCGAATCATACAAACTGCTTATCGCCGATTCAAAGAAAGAGTACCATCAAATGCACGTCTTGCTTGGTTAAGTTTACCAAATGATAATATTCCAGATGATAAGAAATTTCTAGGTTCAACTAGTCGTAAAGTGAAAAATCCTCAAACTCGAGATCAATTCAATCAGTGGAAAGCTGAGAAAATTGCTATGTATAAAAAATATAATAACCCACAAATGCTTAGTTTCTTTTATAATAGTAAATATGAAGAATATTATATTCCATACGATTGGATAGTTAGAAAGAAAAACCAATTACGAGATAGATTTAGTAAGCGTCTCCAACAATTAGAAGTGTAATATATTTATTCACTGCTATTTCATGATGATTAGGCATTATGTACCCGTGAAGCAATAGCTATTTTTTTCTCGATATATATTTCAAGCACGTAAGTGCCCTGTTCCACAGTAATTTTAATCACATGAATTTTTCCTATGCATCAGCTGGTTCGCTTTTTATTCTTTTCTTTTGACGCGATTCTATCTCTTTCTGTAAATTTAGTGGCGTATCAAATCTTAAACGAATTGCTAGAGGATCATCTTCCGACCTAGTAAGATCAAATACAATAAATTCATTTTTTCGAAGGTAACTATTAATAACCATTGATGCATTCTTAACATC